GTAGCAATGATTTTAATGGGACTATTTGTGAAATCGCAACACACACTACTAGTTATATAAATACCATACTTTGGATTCCCCGGCTGACCATCTTCTATACCTCTGTCTGTGATAAGCTCTCCTCTGTCTAAGTAGCACAGGATAGAAATATATTCCTTTTTTTCCTGTCTCTCTGAGGCCAGCTGTCTCCTGTCAGACCATACTGAGTAAACAGACGGGGGAATGTCCTCTTTGGAAATACTTCTAAGAGACTATCACAGCTCCTGTTTTAGATTAGGTTTTGAATCTCTCATTAGCTGTGGAATGGTATCAGCAGTTGGAGAGTTTATCGTATGTGCCATATGGCATAAAAACTTAGTCAAATTTGAAAAGCTGAGGAGTTTTTTCTTAAATGTTACCAGTGTCCACAAGGTGGACTGAGGCGTTGAAAGAGCTGGTAAGAACCCAAGTCTATCAACGTGATGTCTGTAACGAGCAGATACCTGTAGGTGCCCCATTTCTTCTGCAGAGACAGACATAACAAGCTTAAACAACTGAAACTTTACACCAGACAATTTTGTATCAAAAATACAATGAAGTGCTTTACCACTGGGTGCAATTAACCATTACAAAAAAGTAACTAGAGCTGTAATAATTCCTTATTACAAGGTTTTACTATGAGACATCAGCGCCTTTCTGAAGGAAATGTTCTAACCCAAACATCCTTTACCTCGATGGCTCTGTTGCCTCTCTACTGCAAAAGGGATGAGCAGGATGCACACAGCAAGTTCAGAGCAAAAGGCAGATGTAAGCTTCCTTACCACCTCCAGTGATAATCATGTTTTGGTTTCCTTCCTATTTAGACACGTTTTTCATTATTCAAGTGGAAAAAGTATTTTCATTTTATTTTATGTAGATAGATTATTTACATGTTTCAATATTATGGCCATTAATTCCATACTTACTAGTATATCGCCTACACTTAATGTTGTACTTTGGACATAAAGTAGTGTCCATGTACTAATGAAATACTGGAACTGTTCTTCTTTGGTTACTTCAAAAAGAAAATTAAGTGGACAGGTGTAACACATTCAGTGACACGTCAGACCCAAAGCCAATTTCCCATTGGTACTGCACAGGATGCTCCTTAAGGGAGAAGTAGAAATGAATTTCTACTTTTTGTCATTATACCCGCTCATGTAATATGTGTCACTTCATCCTTATAGGAGTGCATTTATGTATTTCATAAAATTTCATACTTGAATGGAAAGTTTCAGAACTATCAGGGGTATGGTTCACAGATGGTTCAAACTCCATAGATAATTCAATGTCTGTTTAGCTCTAAAGTAGATGGAAGACCTGGTAATTAATGTCCTGAGAGATTTGAAAAGGCTTGTGCACACATTTGTAGATACACTAGTATTTGCTGTCAGTGTTCAAACATTTTCAGTAAACTGAACTGTGATTTGAAGCATATGGTTCTCATTCCCTAATTGGTAATCAGTCCCACTGAGGGCAAGATCCACACACTGGCAAGCAGTAAGGGCTAGCGAGTTAAAGTATTGATTAAGGATTATAGCTGAGATGTTATATGCTGAAGTGAGCATGGGTCTGCAAATCTGTTGCTCAGTCCTTACTTCGAAAATGTCAAGAGAGAGATTTATAAATTTAAAAAACAAAATAATTTTTTCTGTTGTTGTTTGTTTGTTTGTTTGTTTTTTGTTTGTTTGTTTGTTTTTCATAAAAGGAATGTGAGTTTCAGTCTAATGGGCTGATTTTTCAATATTTATGTAAACAACACGACCACTTACAATTTAAAACTTCTAAAAAGTGAAAATGGCACAGATAAAATCAGTCAAAACCACTTGGTTTGATTTTAGTAGTTACTGATATGTGCTGTGTATCTATAGAGGAGTTCATCACTGCCAGTGCAGAATAAAGGGGTTTTATTTCAGCCCCTTCCTGATTCCCCCACATCAGACACCGTCTTTGTCAGTTTTCACAGTTATTAGTGATATAAATATGGAAATTCAGAACAATAATTTCCATAACTCACATTTTCCAAAAAAATAATGGCAAAGATATCACAAAGCATGGCAAGCCTTACGCAGCAACTGTTGTAAACAGAAACACAACTAATGGCAGTCAGACAGAAATCAGGGGATATGGAGCAGGTCCTTTTATAACCATGGTTTGAAATCTCCCAATCTGACAGAAGGCATTTTTTACAGACAAATGATCAGTGCCTTCCAGGGTGTTCTGCACAATCCAGTTGTGGTGGCAAAATTGTCTGCAGAGCAATCGTGAATAGAACTAATAGAGGAACACTTTGCTGAACAGAAAAGGGAAAATCTTCCTGCAAAAAATGCACTCTTTCACCCCTTGACACACACACATCATGGTCTTCTCCCATGAAGGTTAGGTCTGCGACTGGCAAATTCTGTAACATCACAACGTGAAAGCCCTTTTGTGGTGCTGTAAGCTTGCTGTACGACATGGGACCACATTCATGGAGAACAGTTTGGGTCCATGTTGGGTCCCCAAACTTCCCACTTATCTTTAAAGAAAATTAGTAACTTAATCTCCATGTTACTAATACGTTACCAGAAGTTACTAGTCACTACCACACAGGTCCAATCACAGGTTTTCCTTTTACACTATACCAAGTCAGTAACAATAGTTCAGCTTTTAATATCATATGAAATGTCTCCTCTATCATTTCAGTTATTTTTCCTGTCCTAAAAGTAGATGGCAATCATTTGTGCTGTGATTACAAGCTATTTCTTTATCTATGACTTTTCTCATCATAATATATGAAAGTGGCAAATACAATCTATAAGTAATAAGTGTGGTATGAAATTTCACAAGGTCCTTATCATTCTGTGTCATTATTCTTGTCTTTGTTTCTCTCTCTCCCTTTATTATAGGAATATTTTTTATTTAGACTGTGGGTTTTTTTCTTTGCTTTTTCTTATTCTCTTTCATGTCTGAAAATATTCTGCTGTCTAAAATAAAAAATAGTTTGTGGTCTCTTCAAAATGTTGATTTATATTCAAACTTACTGATTTCTTTAATGTTTATCTCCCTCTTTGTTTTTTAGTTATTGTAATGCTGGAAACTTAAGCTGCATATACGTACTTTTAGAATTGATTTAACTGAGCGGAGCATACCCTGATCTGTACCCTGAAATGCTGTAAATTTTGGGCTAATGACATTTCAAACCATGTCTCTATTTCTGACCTTAGGGGACAACACTTGTCTGGGCTTCCCAAAATACAGAGATCCATTTGTATTTCCAGGTGTATCTGTTCAACTGGCAGGCAATTGCACATTTTTAGAAGTGATGTTTCATTTTGCTTTACTTTTTCTTGAAAATAAATCTCCTTAAAATTCTCCATGAGGGAAAAATCTGAGGAAACCTGGCTGGTTGGCAGCCATGGAAGCTGTGGGCATTATGGGAATTAAGGGCAATCTGATTTCCTTTGTCTGTAGATACTAGAAGCTTCAGGCTCAAAACAAGAGAAGAAAGGAAGAGAAAAAGACAGAAAGAAAGAAATAGGCAGGCATGGAGGAAAGGTGAGAGGGAGAAAGAAAGGCAACTTCAAAGTATAGGAAGTTTCTGGTGAAGGCTCCTTCTTGGCCTACAAGAATTACTGTGAAGATGGCAAATAAAATTAGGAAATCAGTAACTTGTATCGCAGTCCTTCAAGCAAGCAGCCACAAGCCTGCAGCAGGTACACCAGTGGAAAATAAGCAAGCTTCAGATAGAAGCCTGTGTAACATAATTCCCCTTGCATACCAACAAGTATCCCTTAGGTTTGAGTTACTACTCCCTGAGATTCTTTTCATACATTTCAGAAATAGCAATAGTTTTCTAATAATTTGTCAAAAAAATGAACGGATAACGTGCTAGCATAAAGGTAACAGTATTAAAACACTAGAGCAATCTAGAACTTGAATGGCTCAATAAGACTATCGTGTTCACAAGTCAGGCATTTCTAAAACACAGTAAATTTGGTGGGGTCAAAGATCCTAGCAATCTGCATGGAACCAGTATGAGGAATGCAGGAGCAAATCATACAAAAATGGATAAACACATAGTTAAACTAAGGACTCTGAGAAACACACGTAGTTGTGTGTTTCCTTATGAGAAGTAGGACCACATGAAGGCTTGAGATTTCACTTCATAGTACTTTTTCAGGCATTTCTTTGAACCACTAAGAAATACATGAAGAAATGCAAGAACAGGTGAATCAAAGTAATAATGGCTACTGATTCAGAACAGTAAACAGAACCAGGAAAAAAAAGACAAAAAACATTTGGCATGCCTGTTTAGTGTTTATGCAGTGGAAAGTAACATGAAGGTAAAGAGAGAAATGCTTGGCTTCTGAATAGTGGATTGATGTGTCGTAGGCACATCTACAAACGGGTGGCACAAAATGTGTTTTTCCTTGTGCTAAGATACCAGGATATCTCTGTGTTAAAGAGGAGAGGGAAAATTGCCGATGATCTTTGATTAACTTTCAAACAAAATAAAAAATGTTTCAGGGAGAAGAGTAGTCTGCACAGAAAGTTCATCACTACGCCTGTTGCAATGACCATGAGCCGGCTGAGCTGCCTAATAGTGATGACTATTAAGGAAAATACAGCTTAGTACAGATCTGAAACTACTTGCCTTTTATTTGAGAACAGCAGTATTCATCACATGTGACTGAAGATATCCTGTGTTATATATCCAGCACAAAAGCATCCACTGTTTGTGATGGGTTTTGACATACTAAGCCAGATAAGCCATGCAATGATTTAACAAACTGTCCTGTATTTGAGGATTTGTGGGTACCAGCCCAGCTACACTGTACATCTAGTGAATACTGAAACAGTCAGTGGACTAAATCCTGCATGTGTAGATATGCATATACATAATTAAACATAGTGACATTTATATTTACCTATGTGTGATACTTATACTGCTGGACAAAATGTTTCCACAGGGAGCACATCCAAGTTTATACTATCAATGTGAAAACTATTTATCAGATGTCAGAAAAAAAAATGCTATGTGACAATAGATTAGACAGAATCCAGGAGAACTAAAGATTATTTATTTATTTATTTATTTATTTATTTATTTATTGCTAATATGAGGATATGGCTGCACTTTAAAAGACTTTTGCTTAGCCTTTTGAATACATGAAATAAGCCATATTACAAACCTATGAACCAATATGTCAGTCAATATACAGAAAGAAAACAGATTTCATGCTTAGAGATAAAAAGAAACACAGAATGTCAACTTGGAAAACTACTGAACACTTCACCACTCCCCTTACTTTTAATCATTCTAGCAAATCATTACTTTAATCTGGAAAGAATTATGCTGAGAAAACTCACTGGAGAACAGCCATCCAGAAATGGAATACACATTTTTTTCAGTTCATGGTGTGGGGGGCCAGGCCACAACGCACTTTAGTACAACTTCAAATATTAACCAGTAACCTAAGGCATGATCTCTCACCTGCCCCAAAACAAAAGAAATGGAGAAAGCCTGGGAGCCAAGTACAAGGAAAATGGATGCTCTCTGTACAGTGCTGAATCACATCCTCGGGTAGTAAGAAATAGCTGGCATGGGAACTGTGGTGCTTACGCCTGCAGAAGAATCAAATAGCTGCTTTCTGTGAGGAAATGTGCACCAAAAGAAACTTACAGAATGATATCAAGGAAACACAACAATTAGGACAACACTGAGTCAGCAAGGCAGACCACTACAGAAGAGGAATAAATGTTTTTTTGCCTCATTCATTTGAAAAGGTGTAAAATCTCTGGCATGTTCAGGTTTGTTTTCCCTTCCTAGTGGTAAGGGCTTTCTGCTGATGAGATGGATGGAAGAGAACAAAATAAGCCTCCTATTTTCCATGACCTCAAACTGCAAATCCTTGTTCTTCAGACATTCCTCATGTCTGGAGATCAGCCTCAACAAAGGCTCTTCTTCTATCTGCCTTGATTTTGGGACAGTGTATCTGTTTGAGAATGGCCTTGGTGCAGCTCTTAATTTAAAAATAAATAAATAAATAAATAAAAATAAAAAACATATTCTCAGCAGTGTAGTGGCCCTGTCAACCTTTCAAGTTATACAGTGCAAAATGTCATAGCTTAGAAAATGCTAACGCTCTTTTCATATGCTGTCCCCTTTCCTGATCAACTAAATTTAAAAATAAGTTGGAAACAAAGCCAGAAATATGTCTTAAATAAGTTTCTTGATAATGAAAAACAAGAGGTCTTATCACTCTCTTTTGGCTTAACTTCCTAGGAAGGAAAAAGAAGGAACTAAAAATGGTGCTAAGAAAGGGTTGACATCAATTTGAGGATGCTGAATGCTTGGAGTAGTATTATCAAATAATTCTCAGGTATGATGACTGATAAAGAAATTCAGATCTGATATATTGCTGTTTTCTTCTCTTTTCCCTGTTCATATCACATGGCAAAATGTAACTTTCTAAGACATAAAACCTTACCTTTTTCTGAGTATCGACAAATTTCTCTGTTTCTTCCATAGTTTAGGCTGTATGCATTCCCACACAGGAAATACTGTAAAAACATTAATAATCACATTGCTGACAATACACAAAAATATAATTGTTATTCCCCTTGATCACATGAGTAAACATGAAGACAAATTGTATAAATGAAATACACAGCTGTTTGGCTGAAGATTTCATTGCTGATAGTTTTGTTGGTACTGTAAGCATATCTTTATCACACCAGACAAAACCTTAAGATCTCTAAGCTGAGCGAGCTAGTAAAATTGTATAAAACATACAAGAATGGATAGCATGAATAACCATCTTGACTGTAGTAGAGCAGTGGGATTTTGAAAATGAAACAAGGCAGTTTGCATTATTACAGGCAGTATTTGGCTGTTCATAGAAGCTTTAGCTCTAGACCTTAAAAGAAAACTACATTCCCTTTGTCTGAACAGTAGAGATACTGGTGTTTTAACCAAGTATTTTAAGTGTCGGTCATCTTAATATGAAATACCCTTTCTCCTCAGCTACTCTCCTGGTTTTAGAATCTCTTTCCTCCTCCTCCTGCTTCCAAGGGGTGCCTTCCAGTTACATAGAATAAAAACAGATTTTTTGGATCTTGTCTGTTTCCCCCCATAAGATTTACCCTATGTCTCTCAAGCTCTGTGACTGTTTGGGGAATAGCAGGTAAACATATCAGAATTCAGTGCAGGAAGAATGTTCAGTAAAAAAAAATTCTTCTATTTTTGGTGTGTTGCTAAATCATGACAAAAAGTCTAAAGGCAGATAGTAACATATGTCATTATGTTCTGGACAGTACCACTAGAGGTTAAAGGTAACCAATTAGTAGGGGTTAAAGGTAATGGATAGTCCATGTAACAAAATGCAGTAATTATTACAGTACTCTCACATCCATTTTTTTGTGTTTTTTTTTTTTTCTTTTTTTTTTTTCTTTTTCCTTTTAACTTTATGTAAATAAAATGGCAAACAGGCACAGATTTCAGAAATGTGAATTTTCCTGAGATTCATTCCACAGAAAATTTAAATACAAGAGATTAAATAGAAAGTCTTGTCAAGTGAGACCCTGTGAAACTGAGTTCCAATCACTGAGCAATGTCTGATGGAATTGCTAATTAGATCACATATTTCTCTTTAGCTGTAGAACAAGGAATCACCCCAATGATTCCACTTGTCATCTGCGGAACAAGTTTCCAATCTCTTTTGTAACTGGGTAGTATGGTATGAGGTACAAATTCCTACTGATGCTGAACAGAAACATTTATGTATTTATAAGCTAATATATGTCTAGGGAAAAAAAGCCTCCAACTTTTATTTTTCCAGTATTTATCGTCCATTCAAAAACAGATGGTAGGAGGTAAGCCAGGTTATCTCAGACTTCTTGTGATGGGTTCAGTGGCAGAGACCCAAATAGCCTCGTATGCAGCAGAGTACCTATCCCACTGGCAGCCAGTTTTTTCCACTCAACTCCTTTTTGCTCCTTGGAGCCAATCCAGCCCAGTTCAGCTCTTTTGTAGGAACTGAGGAACCAGTATTGATTTCCCATTTAAACCAATCTTGCGTAAGCCCACCACTGCCTCCCTTGCTATGAATAGGGGGAGCACTGGAGGAAACCAGCTGCAGCGTTTTCAACGCAGAATTGCTTCTTTGCACCAGACGTGAGCTGAGTTGCAAATTAGAAAAATAAAAAGCAAAAATGGCAGTGTAGATAGGCTTTCTTTTCAAGTCTGATACACATTCAGCATTGCCTTCCTAGAGAGGATTCTCGGAAAACAGGGAATTTGCTTGTTAGAGTGAGAGAAGGAGATTCTTATTATAGGCTTCAGCGTAGTTGTCAGCAAAGATAACAAATCCTTGTACCAAAGTGGCCTTAGAATGGTGAGACAATGAGGGTTTTCTTAAAAAAATAAAAATAAAATCAAAATTGTGCAGTGCATTTTTTATGAAAGTATGAAAATCTGTTGTTAGTGACTTTACAGAGTGTTTATAGATTTAAACTGAAGACTGCAGTGATATATGAGGAGTCTCAGGCTTTGTGCCATGGAAGTTACGCTACTGGATTCTGAGTGTTCAGCAGGCATCCATTGCTATCAAAGAGAAAGATACCTTCTAAACAGGTATTTCTAGGGAGTAGCAGTGAAGATTTCCCATGTACTTCAAAAGAAAATTTAATGCTAATAACATTGACACAAACTTTCCAAAGTTGGTCGGTAGTGTTTCAGATACCTAGGATGTGATTGGAGAGAATGTGGACATAGTTAAGTAAAAAATTGGAAATACATGCTGAGGGATAACACGGCAATTAAATAAATCTTGAATTGCAGACTGAAAGACAAAGACAGACATTTTGACCCCTACACAATAACTAGTGAGGGGAAAAAACAGGAATATTAACCTGAAAACCAAACTTTGGAGACCTCACACAAAAGTTTAGCGTCTATCTGACCTAATTTCCTCACTCTCTGTTCTCAGATGTTCACAGGCTCTAAAACTGGAGTCTATATCTGGAGTATGGTAGGGACAAATTGTAGGAAGCTCTTGCGTGGCAACAGGATCCCTCATTCTTGCATATCTCTGCAAAACACTTATAGTAACTGTCCCCAGGCACTGGCAAGTTTAGGCACTACTTGTTCCTCATTTCAGCGAGAATCAAGCCACCCAAACCAGGTCACAACTGTGCTCATGTCCCACATAGACACCATCAGTGCATTTAGTCAAAATCCACTGCTACTGACTGTGATTAAGAAAGACTGGAAGAACAATTTGCTCCAGCCCAAAGGATGGAGCAATTTCAAACTCTACCACATGTATGCAGGAAACCAGAAACAATGGCAGCTTCCTGATTGCGGCCTCCCCACTGCTCATTCTCAGGCTTCATGCAGCCTAAGAAAGACCTAAGCAACTGCTACACAGTTTTTAACTAAAATGGAGAAAAGACTGGTACTTTTTTTTTTTTTTACTTTTTTTTTTTCTGTTGCAAATACATGGAGCAATTGGACAAAATGGAGTCCATTAGGATATTATGAAGCTTATCTGTCAGCAGCTATATTTTTGGGTTATATGTTCTTTGTCAGAGAACTTTATGCAAGAAGATTTCCCAAGAGAATGAAACTGAGAGTTAGGTGGATTATTTTCATGTAGGGGAATCAATAACCTGAGTTTCCTTGGTGAGTGGTCAGAAGAGCCAAATACTTGTAATTCTCAATTCTCAGGTATCCCCACCAGGGAATAATTAGCAGTCTAAGCTGCTAGTTTGATTGATGAGGCTGCTGAGTGATTATTTCTCCAATTTTCCCTGACTTCAATTCTCATAGACTGGGGTCAGTGAAGAGAGGTTCATTTGGGGTTTTCAGACACTGCTGTTCTGATTCTTTCTCGAGCATACCTTCATTAATATCTTTTATTTGTACTTTTAAAGAGTGAAATTGGAGGCACTGCCAAGAAGGTAAGAGACTTTAGAGGGATTTTTGTGGCAGTTTTCCTGAATTTGTGGCATCTGGTAGAGATTAGACAAAATGACAGAACAGGTTCTACCAAGCAGAAAAGAAGAGCCTGAGGAGGAGGCAGCAGAAATATTAGGAGGGACTGAGAAAGTTGTGGAAGGAAAGATGAACATCAGAGCTTTATTTGAGTTGTAGTGCCCAGTGAGAGAGAGGAATAGGAACAAATGTCAACAGGAACAAACCAACCTTTTGCTTTTTAATGTAGTCATAAAAACTTACATGCGAATAAGGAATATTAAAAATGTGCCTCAGATACAAAATGTCATTCACGTCTACTGAAAAAAAAAAAAAAAAGAGAGAGAAAAAAAAAAGACTGTTGCCTAGGGCTATGCTAATTCTTTAATGTGATGGCATTCCTGTTAGGAGAGCTCTGTAAGCTTTCCAGGCTGCCAAGCATGCTTGGCGCCCATGTCTTCAAGCGCTATTCCTGCAAGGCTCCTGAGTACATTTTCATTTTAATGGGTTCTTAAGTCAAGCATCTCTAGCAAAGTTGCCCTCCTAAAAAAATGAGTGAGAGCTCATGCAAAGGACAATGACATACTTTAATATTTACTGCACTAAAAATAGTTTTTAAAAACAATACAAGGTATACAGAATGTTCTCCTTGTTCAAAAATGGCCAGTTCTAACAGCATTTGATGGATGCAGTGGGCTCTAGTAAGTACAGTTAATATATTCTCTCTATATATTCCTTCAGTACTAAAGAGCAAATTGCTTAATATGTAATCTTGAGTAAATGTTTCCCCAGCTACATTCACTTTCTCTTTTTGATATGCTTTATTCCTGCCTGAGTATTTTTCTCCTTTTAATATTCTCAGCAGGCTGGATTTATGAGCCTATGAAAGCAAAGAATGGGAAGCATCTTCTCCTGAAGCCAGCTGCACTGGTGAACTTATTGAATAGCTGACTGAGTACTGAATGATAATCATACAAAAAGAAGAGCAAGAAAAACAATAGGAGACAAAATCACCTTCATTTTCAAAAAATAAAAACCAACAAAAAATAAAAATAAAAGGACCAACAACGCACAAAATGAGATAGAGAGAGAAGAAAAGAGAAACGTAAAGGGTGAACCCATAGTTTGTTTCATTTTTCATTCTAACATCATTTCAACCACAAAGAATGACAGTATAAATGATCAAACAACTGTTTGCTAATGCATTATAGATAGTCATACACAATATGGCAGCTTTATACTTGTATATTTACCCACCATGAATACAAAATATACTAAGAGTGACAGGTAATGTAGCCAAAGCTTCTACTCTCTGTAAGCATCTGTGTACTATGAATTATAAATGAGAGTCTTGTGTCCAAAGGTAGCAAGTAATGTAGATAATGCCATCTGAGTAAATGAATAAATGTGAAACAGATGCTTTTTGCATTCAGGGCACACAGGTACAGCCAGGAAGCCACCAGTACAGATTATGGATGCTGGTGAAACAGCTGCTGTCTGCATCTAGTGCCAGGTGCGGTCCTACCTGGACTGTGTTGAGCCAGTAAGAAAGGTCCTTGTCTTATTAGTTTTTGACAGGTTTCCAGAAGGATGAGGTATCCTTTTGTGTAGGTTCCTTCGGTGCTTGGATTTCATTGTGGCTTTCCTGAAAAATCACATCAGCATCCTTATTAGTACATAGCCCTTTGTAAGAGTTAGAGAAACTGCCTGAAAGGAACATTTTTTAAGAGTCATAAAATACTTCTTTGCTCTTTATGCAATTCCCTTCTGCTTTGCTAATATTTTTTATCTGAACAAATATTTTTCCTCAAGATGAGATTACACAGCCTAAAAAATTACTGCTAGAAACATATTAATAACTTTGATATGACTTTTTATACATGTGAATTTGCTCATCTTGTAAGCAAAGAGACACAAGCTTGGACACTGGTTAGGCAACTGGAGGTCTTCTGCTGTCAGCATGGACTGCCACCTTGATACATAAAAGGTAAGTTGGACTCCCCATGTAAAGCACTAAGCCCAAGAGTACCAACAGATAGTTTTTACTCATGAGATACAGCTACTGCTATTATTTGAGGTTCAAATAAGCTCATAATACAATTTGGTTTTATATTACTCTTCCAACTCTTTTCTGTCTGTCTAATGCTAGATTTGCCCGGTGTACATTTCCACATTTGCTGAAGAAAAGCTTCTGTCCTTTTCACTTCTGTCCTTTTTCACTTTGCTGGGGTGTGCAAAAGTAAGACACATACAATCTAAGCAATAAGGGCAGCCAAACTCTTCATGGTCTCTTAAATGATGCTTTATTGCCATGATTACATTACAGCATTGTTTTAATCTAGTAAAGAGAGCAACCCCTTATAATTTCGCAGTTTTGACTTACAAAGCAAGGAAATGTCAAACTATACAACTATGAAAAGCCGTAATACTGCTTTCTAAACGTAATGGCATAATCAGAATTAGTGAAATTAAACCACAGAAATGCCACCAATCCACAGATGGTTTGTTCCTATTTTTCTCCACGTCTTTTCTTTTCTCGTAGTAAGCTTCGCTTGCATTTCTGTGAGCAGAAAAGTTGAGGAGGAAAAAAAAAAAAAAGAGAGAGAGAGAGAATGTGTAGGTTTTTAAGAACTTTGAGAAGTAATTTGCAAAGTGATAGTTTCTGCTAATGAAGGCTGCTACCTTTGCCCAGGTCTCTCAATATGATAAAATTGTTTCAGATTGTTAATTACTGAATAATCAGATTCCCTTGAAAATGTAACTTGAGCTTTTACTGAAATATAATATTCTGCAATTATATCAGAGCTGTAGGATGGTCAAATCAGCAATTATACAAACAAAACTCTTGCAGTCTTTTCTTTGGGATAAGACTCTATTATCTCCAAAGAATTAGAAAAGCTTCTATGATGCATAGCCAATATGGAGACCATCCTCCTATTGGCCTCTATTATCCGAAAGTAAACGAGAAAACACTTCCATTATGCTTTGCAGTGATCCATGCCTTTCTTTTTTTTTAAGTCAATAAACTATATCTTTCACTGCAGGACTTTGTGCATGTGTGCAAAAATGACCTTCCACAGCTCGGTGCCAAGACACGTGCTGAGAGGTGGTACAGGAAATGTGAAAAGAGATGCCAACAGGTTTTTACTGCCAGGCACATACTGCCCTAAGGAAATAAAGCGAGGCCTGCAAAGCCTTTTTCTACATGTAATATTTTACTGGTCTTTGCATTGCAAGTCAGGAATCCCTTCCCAAATCAGTTTCCCCCAGTCAGTTTAATTAGAGTTGGTGCTCAAAGCATAGACAAATATTATGCAAACAAAGTCCTTTGAGTAGCTCTTGACCCGTGTGGAAGCACAGTCCCCTCTATCCCATCATGGGTCTACAAATAGCCTGTTCAAAAACCTCCTTGAAAAGAACATAAAACCACATTGATTCATAGAAGAGAGGGCATCAGGGGGGCACCCAACTCTCTCCCTCTCTCTCTCTTTCAAAAGAAGGAAAAAAAACATGACTTTAGAAAAAGTACTTTGAAACTGGTGAAATAATCTTCTAAATAAACCACCAGTGGGGAATACCCACAGCCACTGAGGGCAGCATGCTGTTCAGCGTATCAACAAAAATACATTTGGCCTGAGGCAATGCTGAGGGCAAACATATCCCAGATGGACTGCAGAGGCCCAAATACCTTTAGAGATGAAAATTTAATTAGAGGAAATGTCACCACAGTGAACAAAAGGATTGCTTTAGTGTTTTTTCATCATTGTTTACTACAAGTGAAGTATATTTTTAAGTGTTAGGACAGGCTAAGTACAGGGATGTTCTTAAGCACTAGAATTGAGATGAAGAGAAGGGATGTTGAAGGTCAGAGACAATCATCCACACTTGAGGACTGATCAAAAGCAGTAAGTGATCAAATATTGACAGAGAACAATTTTTAATTGCTTCAGTGATGTCAAAAGGTGACAAAAGGTGTGAAAAGGTGACAAAACATGTCACATAAAAGCCATTAAAGAAGAAAAACTGACCTCATACTATTGGTTTGTTTATTTTTATTGTGTTTTTCTTATTTGGTTTGGTTTGGTTTGGTTTGGTTATTCTTGTGAGATCCTAAGCATGATTAGAAAGCTTGGGACTCTCGGAAATATACAGCTATCCCAGAAAGTTGGGATGGCTCACTGCCACTTTACCTCTTTGATAATCCACTGTATAATATTAATTCTGATTCTTGCACAAGTCAGGGGTGAAATTGCTGGAAAAGCAATATAGGAATTGCTGCAGTGCAGTCACAAGGAACCAGCCCCCTTCTTAAATGAAAATATGTGAGTTCCAGCATGAATTCCAAAAGCTGTCTGGGATAAATTCAGAGAAAATAAGACATAGCAAACATTACAGAAAGTCTGTCAGACTACAGTTATGTTCTGCATTTTGGGTTTTACATCTTTAAAATGCAGATTTTATATTTTCAGTATATGATTTTTTACATCTTTTTTTCCACTCAGCCCTCATTTTGTATTTTCTATGGAAATGCTCTCCAGTTAGCAAAACAAGATAATCACCTGAATTGAAAGGATGCACAGCATGGTTTTCCCATCATCATATCAAAATAGTGCTAATACTGCACTATTTTTATTTGCTATTACATAACAGAAATCACATACTATTATATACTGCAAAAATAACAACTACAGAAATAGTAATTATATAAAATCTCTCTCACACAAAGGCCATACCAATTTTACTCTATTAATTTTCTTAATAAGATCAAGGAGACCTCCACCGATAGACAACGGTAGAATAGATTCGTTAAAATGGGCAACAATGTAAAAAAGAATGAAGAAAGCATTATGCAAGCAAAATCACATACAAATACAAATATATCAGGATGCTCCATTAGGCTTAACAGAAAAATTTGTTTTGAGATAAAAAAGCTCATTTGCCTATTTCCACTGTACTTTGGTTAATATAACTTCTTTTGCCATCCTGCTGTTGTGATACATGTTCTTGTGCATCAGATACAAATGTGTAGATGGATTCTTTTTTGTGCAGAAGATACTTGGGAACTTCAAGTCTAATGAAGATACCAGGGAACCTTTGCACTGATTTCAGTAGGGCTTGGATCAAGCCTCTGGAGTACCTTATTGACTTCCTAAGTTAACAGAGTAACATGTCCTAAAATCAGGGGATTGGTTTAGGTCTCTCTTGGTCCTACTGTTTGTTACTACCTTTTACACGCTTATATTCTGGCTCAAATAAACTCCCTAGATTTCAACTGACCTGAGGCAGTATGCTTTTGTTGGCAGTCAGAATTGGCTTTGTGTTCTCCTTCATTGTCTTATTAGTCCTTCTTCTTTATCTTACCTGCCTTTTTTTTTTTTTTTTTTTTTTTTTCCCTTTTTAGCAGATTCAGTTCTATACAAAGTTTAAACCTAGGTACAGAAATTTTCTAGATTAATGCCAAAGGGTTTGCCCAAAGGCAGGCTCTAAATACATTATTGTTTGAAACCTGTGACAGAAAGTCCAACCAGCCTCTGATTAGGCAACATGCCACACTAAGCAGATATTCATGAATCTTGGCAACCAAGTATGAGAAATCACTTTTCTTGCCATCCTTTCTCTGTTACAGATGGTTATCTGGAAAGCCATCCAAACAACAGAAATATACCATATGTAAAACAAAGCCTCCCTTTTTATTTTCAGGTTCACAGACTATCAGCTTAAGATTTTACAGTGTTTATTATTTTCATACTTCAAGATGAGCAAATATATCAATATCCAAATGCATCCAAATTATGGAACACTGAAGGAAGCAATATTGTGCTTTGTGGGGATGTGATCATATTATTGATGGTTGTGGACTTCCTGATGAGCCACTCAAGATATGCACACTAAAAGGACAAATTTGTTATGTATCCACTTATCAATACCCATAAAATGGAAGTACTGTGGTCAGTAATGCCAGGTGGAAAACAGATAAATAGGTGTTAAAAGAAATACACTGCTGAGGTAGATTAATGTTAGATTAAATTACAAAGATTCTGAAGAGATATTAAAGGCAGAGTTATGGAGCATACACTTCTAATTTACTATTTCAGTCTTAGCAAAAAGCTGTTGATAAATCATGATAAATCCATCTTCATCTAAATAACAATTCTGAAGAGGAAACTAATTCTTGGTATGTAGCCTTCCTCCTCAGTTGGTTAACAACAGAGGAGATTGCCCACTAGCTTTGCACTGATGACAAACAAAGTCAGTAGAGCATGCAAGACAAGGTGCAAGACAAATAAACCTCTGTGGTCAGAGGTAGGTGACTCTCTACAGACACGGGAAACAAACATGGGTAGAAAATATGCGTGTATATTTCAACATTTAATGTCTCATTGCATTTCTTATTAGTGATTATTTTTGTGCACAACTCCTTTATGAAGTTATTTCCCAAGCAACTGGACTAGAACAGAGGAAAACAAAAGCCTAAAAGGAAACCAAAAATTTGTAAGTAGGTAGAACTTTTTTTCTTCTTTCTTTTCTTTTATTTTTTATTAGTAAGAAAAATAATTCATAGATGCAAAACATTGCTATGCTATTTTTTTTTACATAACTGTGGAGCTGCTCTTGTAATCTTTTACAATATTTTGATGTCCTATG